TCCTGCGACGATATCTGTAATACCATCAAACATCCACATCTGCCTATCCCAGGTCCTGGGTAAGGACTCGATAGGTAGACAAAATGCCAAATCCAGTCTGAACATCTGGCTGACTGTGCGATGATCGAATAATAATAATAATAATAATAATAATAATAAAGTTGGAAGGGACCTTGAAGGTCATCTAGTCCAACCCTCTGCTCAGGCAGGAAACCCTATACTATTTCAGACAAATGGCTGTCCAGTCTCTTCTTAAAAACTTCCAGTGTTGGAGCATTCACCACTTCTGGAGGCAGGTTGTTCCACTGGTTAATTGTTGTAACTGTCAGGAAGTTTCTCCTTAATTCTAGATTGCTTCTCTCCTTGATGAGTTTCCATCCATTGTTTCCTGTCCTGCCTTCAGGTGCCTTGGAAAATAGCTTGACTCCCTTTTCTTTGTGGCAGCTCCTGAGATATTGGAATATTGCTATCATGTACCCCCTCGTCCTTCTCTGTACTTCCTACTTTGACAAAGTAGACCACAACCTACTTCTTAGTAAGTTAGAAAAATGTGAGATAGATAGCATCATCACCAGAAAGATCATAGAAGGCTGACAAACCACATTCCAATATGGAGGAAAGTAAGCAGTGGGGTACCCCAATATTTTTTCTTAGGCCCAGTACTCTTCAATATCTTCATAAATGATTTAGATGAGGAAATAGAAGGGGAACTTATCAAATTTGTAATGTATTGGTCACAACTTTTTAAAATCACTTGCTTAATGTCTGACCTACATACTGTATTGTTTAACAATTACTGAAAGTCAGGCTGGCTGTCTCCAAGCTGATAATGAGGTTTGGGGTAGGAAACTTTAAATCTATTGGTTATCACCTAGAGGCTAACTGTATAAATAGCTGTGCAGCAGCCTTTAGGGCTGCTTCTGTTCTGAGTTAATAAACTTGTTGTTGTTTCAACACTCTTCCTCATTCAATGCCTAAAGAACCGAAGATATAACAGAATTTGTAGACAACATTAAACTAGCAGGAATAGCCAACACCCTAGAAGATGGATCTTGACAGACTTGAACACTGAGCCCTATCTAACAAAATGAAATTCAATGTAGAGGAAAAGTAAGGTTTTACACTTGGTCAAGACAAAAAAAAAAAAAAAAGTACAGGTACAGATTATGTGAAACCTGACTCAATAGTAGTAACTATGAGAGGGATACTGGAGTCCTAGTGGACAATCACTTAAACTTTAACCAGTAGTATGCTGCCATTGCCAAAAAAGCCAATGCAATCTTGGCTGCATTAACAGAGGTATAGAATGAAGATTATGTAAAAATGTTACTACTGCTTTATAACGCCTTAGTAAATCCACACTTGGAATATTGCATCCAGTTTTGATCACCACAGTATAAAAAAGATTTTGACACTCTGGAAAAAGTACAGAGAAGAGCAACAAAGTTTCTGGAGGCACCTCTAGAGGGCTAAATGCTAGAGATTAAAATATAAAAAATGGTTGCAGATAGGACATATAGCAGTGTTTTAATATTTGAGGAGCTGCCACAAAGAGGAGGAGGTCAACCCATTTTCCAAAGCACCAGAAGGCAGGACAAGCAATAGATGGAAAGTAAATAGGGAAAGAAGCAACCTAGAGCTAAGAAGAAACTTTCTGACAATGAAAACAGTTAACCAGTGAAAAGGCTGTCCTTTAGAGGTTGTGGGTACTCCATCACTGGAGGTTTTTAAGAAGAGCTTGGATAGCCATTTGTCCAGAATGATATAGGATCTCCTACTTGTGCAGGGGGGTGGAACAGAAGACCTCCAACTTCCAACTATTATTCTGTTGAACAAACAACTGTGAAATATATTATTTCTTATTTTCCTAAATTAAATTTCTTAATGCTTCATATAGAAAGAATTATTCATATGTGATTTTATGCTGTATAGTTAAAATACTTGTCTTGTTCCTAATAATTAAACATCAATTTCTGATGTAAAATAAAGAACTTTTTTATTTTTACTGCCATTTTTATTCATGTTTATTTCCTATTTGTTAATATACAGATTAATAATTTTTGGAAGTGACTGAATGTGCTAACATATTGTCGATCATTAAATGTGCTTTTCAGTAAGTTTAGATTTGGTGGATTATTTAAGAAGACTATTAAGAGTGTGTAAATAGAGTGTTTTAGGGTCCATATTTTCTACTGCAAAAGTAATTACATATTAATCTTCATCATTAGCATATAACCCTCGATGTTCAAAAAAGCATGGGATTTCATGAGCAATGTTGTTTTTGAAAACCTATATAATCATAAAGTGTTTTATTAGAAAATGTACTATAAGGTTTAGATGCTTCCCATATGCTATATTTTGAATAGAATAGAATTGAATAGAACTGGAAGGGATCTTGGAGGTCTTCTAGTCTAGCCCTCTGCTCAAGCAGGAGAACTTATACCATTTCAGACAAATGATTGTCCAGTCACTTCTTAAAAACCTCCTGTGATGGAGCAGCCATGATTTCTGTGGGCAAGCTGTTCCACTGGTTAATTGTCTGCACTATTAGGAAGTTTCTCCTTAATTCCAGGTTGCTTCCCTCTTTGATCAGTTTCCAATTATTGTTTCTTGAACTGCCCTCTGGCACTTTGGAGAATAATTTGACCTCCTCTTCTTGGTGGCAACCCCTCAAATGCTAGAATACTGTTATCATGTCACCCCATTTCTTCTTTTCTTTAGACTAGCCAAACCCAAATCCTGCAGCCTTCTTCATATGTTTTAATCTCCAGGCCTTTGATCATTTTAATTGCTCTTCTCTGAACTTTTTCCAAAGTCTTAACATCTTTTTTTGTAATATGGTGACAAAAACTGGTTGAAGTATTCCAGGTGTGGTCTTACTAGGGTGTGGATCTTGATTCTATGTCTCTGTTTATACAACCCAGGATTGTATTAGCTTTTTTGGCTACTGCTGCACATTGCTGGCTCATAATCAAGTGATCGTCCACTAGGACTCCTAGTTCCCTCTCACAGTTACTGCTTTTGAGCCAGGTCTTGCCTAATCTGTACTTGTACCTTTGATTTTTCCTGCCTAAATGTAAAACTTTTTTGAACATTGCTCTCTCCTACAATTTGATGGTCTAGTACAAGTAGAAGACAATTCTTGCATAATTCTTGCTTTCTTCTGACTAGCTTAAGACCTAGCAGGGAGTATAAAGACAATGGATGAGTGATACATAATTATATATTGATCTTCTAAGACTGAGAAAGACTTCAGCTTCTCAAATATTTCTTCATTGGATTGTCCTAATTACAGCAGCCTTTGTGCACAGAATTATTTAATGGAAAAGTAAAGTACAATTATCTTTAAAATTATTTCATTTTCTTTCATTATTTCATTTCATTTCATTCAATTTATATAGCTGCCCATCTCCTTTTATGTGACCATAAGCAACTTACAATAAAATAAAATTTAAAACTCCAAATATATAATATACATAAAAAAAAAAACACAAAGCAGCTGGACATCATCTAACCTATTATTCACAAAAATATCAGATGGATTCTAACCCACATCCAGGGCTATAAGCTTACATACAAAGTCAAGTTTTCAAAGTTTACAGGATGGAGCTAATCTAGTATCAGAGGAATGATGTTCCAAAGGACAGGTGCCATGGCATAAAAATCTTTCCTTTTGGGCCTGCCAACCAATGTTACCCTGGGCCTGCTTCCTGTCTGATAAAACTGGTAGAAACAAATATGGATAGTTGGTTAAATTACCAATCCACATGTAGTACAAGTATATAAGGTTTCCCAATAAGTTGAGGGTTCTAATACCCATGATTATTTTTAACTGCAAAGAAATAAATAGTTTAAAAGGCAACTAAAGAAGGTTCTGTTTAGTTTAGTTTAGATTTTCACTAGAATCCTTAAGGCTCCAAAATATTGTGACAAATAAAAAGCAACATCTAGTTGGAGTTGTGGTGGTGCAGTGGTTAGGATGCAGTATCGCAATCTAACTACTACCCCCAGCCAGGAGTTTGATCCTGACCAGTTCAAGGTTAATTCAGCCTTCTATCCTTCCAAGATTTATATAATGAAGATCCAGATTGTTGGTGGCAATATGCTGACATTGGGAGTCAGGTCATGGAGTTGGTGGGAGAGTGCATGTGTGAGGCTGCATTTGTGGAAGCAGCACATGTACATGCATCAAATCATCCTTTCTTCCCCCATGCTGCTGCCACCATTGACACTTCCACCAGTCCTCTGAGCCAGAAAGACTGGGGACTGCTGCTATAAAGCACAATCAAAATCAATCAATCAATCAATCAATCTAGAATAATATCCTATGATAAGATGGGTGGCCAATAAATAAATAAATAAATAAATCTAGAGTAAAAATCCAATAAAACAATAAGCTAATTCTTCTTGATACTTGGGATAGGTATTGTTGATGTCTATTTACCGATTAGTTTTAAGCCCAGACATTCTACTGTATAATGAACCAGCATATTAGAAATATGATATTATCCCATACGGGGCCTTTTATGTTGCCTTCATAAACCTAAAGGCAGCCTTTGATTCCATACTCTACTCTCTAAAATCAGCTTTGGAGTAAATTAGCAGCATAATGGATCACTGTCTTTCCTCAAAAGTTGACAATTATGTATGTAATCATGGCATTTATTTTCTTATTTCCATTTCTTGGTTATTCACTGACCTTAAAAAAAAAAAACACTGTTTAGTCTTATTTGTGGTGCATATTGTAATTAAGATAAATTGTTTACTTTTCCTTAGTTGATTTACCCTAGAGTTAAAGTTCTTTAGAAAAGAAACATCCCCAGGGAAAGATGACAGCATAGAGTTTATGAACAAAAGAATTTGTCATGCTATACATTGCTCCAACTTCCTGTATTTCAGGTAAGACCAAATGTACATTATTCTTAGCAGTTTGATATGCTTAACCTTTTTTATCAAATTTCTATAGCTGTAAATGTTACTAATTTCTGTTTGTCTGACCCTTGCTAAATGTGGAATGAGATTAAATAATTGAAAATCCATCCAATTTTACAGGAATGAAAATAAAAGTACATGGAAGGAATGCATTACTCAAAAATCCAATGTATATAGTTGTCAGTCCCAAGATTTTTGCTAATAAACTCCCTTTATGAGCCTCTAGACCCTATTTGAAGTAGAGTCAGGATGAATGGATGTAGCTGAGCATTTACTAATTGGATGCCCTCTCCTCTGCAGAGTTGCAATAAATATTTTTTTCTTTGCACTCTAGGAGAGAAACTTTGCAACTACCTATTGAATTCTTAACCTTCCAAGTGGGAGGCAAGCCTCTGTCTCTCTCTCTCTCTCTCTGTGTGTGTCTGTCTGTCTGTCTATCTATCTCAAAAAGAGGTCCTGCATAATAAAAGTAAATCTGTTGGTTGTTTTTTTCCTGGTAGACCATTTTAATGTCTAAAGTGTCAATAAATGTTATGGCAATTATTTTAACCAAATCCCCATCAGATTTTGCCAGTTTTGTCAGAATACCAGATTGTCACTTAGGAAATATGGCAGAAGCCAAAGCTTAATATTTTGAACTGATTTCCTGGATGTATAACCTTCCAGAAAATAGTTACTGCCAATTTTTGAACATAAGGAAATAATAAAACATTGCTTCAAATAATTGCAAAAATAATTCATATTCACATTCTTTTATTCTCCAAAGATTTTAATTCAGGTGACTGTGGAATAAACAAATTTCACATAAACCTACAGAGTTTGTAAACTCAGAGGTTGTAAACTTTTTTAAAGAAAAAGATGTAACACTTATTAATAATAACTCATTAAGAAGCCATCTTTATCAAATTTCACATTGTGATAGATTCACTATGGCTAATTCATAGTGACAGTATGAGCATAAAAAATATTATTTTCTCTGGCATCCTGATAGACTTTCTGAATGCTTTCATAGTGGACTGTTTTAAAATGTTCATTCTTTGTTTCCTTCAGAAACTGTATCATGGAAGTACGGAATGTGACCATTGTCAGAGAAATATTTTTGCTTGGACTTAACTTTGAACCAAGTTTGGAAATCATCCTCTTTATGGTTTTCCTCCTTATTTATGTAGTGACAGTGCTCGGGAATGCACTCATAATTGCATTGATTTGCACTGATCATCGTCTTCAAATCCCAATGTATTTTTTCCTCAGCAATCTATCTGCCATTGAGATATTCATGACGACATCTGTGATGCCTAAAATGCTGGCCAATCTTCTGTCTGAAAGAAAAACGATTTCCTTTGTTGGCTGCTTCATTCAATCATATTTCTATTTTTTCATGGGTTCTACAGAGTTCATTCTTTTTGCTGCTATGTCCTTTGACCGCTACATGGCCATCTGCTATCCCCTTAGCTATCCCATCCTTATGAGTGGCAAAGTTTGTGTTAAGATAGTGATTGGATCTTGGATTGGTGGCTTCTTCTCGGTGTTCTTATCTACTGTATTAAAAGCCAGGCTAACTTACTGTAATAATGTTATTAATCACTTTTTCTGTGACAGTGCACCGTTATTGCATCTTTCCTGTCAGGATATAACTATGATTGAGGTGGTGGATTTCCTGGTATCCTTGATTCTACTGCTTGGCTCTCTTTCATTCACTGCTACATCTTACATCTACATAATTAGCACCATTGTCAAGATTCCATCTGCAGAGGGCAGGAAGAAGGCCTTTGGTACTTGTGCGTCACATTTCACTGTTGTCTCCATGGGCTATGGAATCTCCATTTTTGTTTATGTGAGACCATCTCAGAGTGACAGTATGAGCCTAAACAAAGCCTTGACCATTTTCTCTGGCATCCTGACACCCTTCCTGAACCCTTTCATCTTCAGTCTAAGAAATGAGCAGATGAAAGAGGTGTTGAGAGATGTTCTAAAGAAAATGTCTTTCAAAATAAAATAAAGTCAATTTATTACTCTAAAATTCATGGTCTAAATGATAATTTTAATATTATAAGGGGATCTGATTCCATTGCTTATGTGGCAAATGAGGGAGTGTTATCAGTTGGCAGTGGGGATATACCCCGTGGAAGACTTTCTCCTTTACATCATATATTTTTAAAAGAAAGAAAAGTCATTTTCTTTTCCTGAACTTTCTAAATCATGATTAAAATTAGGGCTAATTCTAACCCTGTCTAGAAAACTGAATTTGCCATGTCAACACTGCTATAAAAGCATCAGTGTGGGCTAAGTTGGTTTAGCTTTCTACTTCAAAATGTTTTTAAAGTAAGGTACCATTATGAAACTCTGCACAGCCATTTCACAAATTTAGTCCATGTCTAAACTCTTTAATTCAGGTGAAATTAGTCCATTTTGACACCTTAGATCAGAACATCAGCATTGGCTCAATTTTGCTTGAATCCCATTTTATCTGCAAATAGGATCTTATAAATGCACAGAAGTTTCTTTAAAATATTTATTCAAGGAGAGTTGTTTCTTGGATTCATAAACTCATTGTGTGGTGTTCCTATACAGCAGATCACATTAATCAAAACTTCATTGCCTCAAAGGATCTATTTGAAACTCCATTTAGTCCTTTCACAAATGTTGTCCATTTCTACAATTTCTACCTTGATAAAATCTCATGGATATTAATAGAGATGACAATTATTCATGTTAACTAGCTTTCTGAAATAAAAATGAGTTTAAGCAATACAACAAAGCTTGTGCAGTATCATTTTTGCAGTTTTTTAAAATATTCAAAATATACAGTACATGGCATCTAAACTACTTCTCTAAGTGTAATAATTGATAAAAAGCAGCTAATTAAATGCCAAATACATAGAATTGTACATTGTGAAAAAAATCTAACCCATTTATCTTGCCTTGATTTTATGCTACACAGATGTACTGTATTATACTATACCTATTATACATAATAAGTATATATTCTTTGTGACATTATTGATGTATTTTATTAAAATGTATTTATTTTAAATGAATTAATGCCAGATATGTCATCTATAATATGTGATTCTATGCTGAATTTTTAAAATGCTTTGATTCTGACAGAAATATATTACTTTTCTGAATTCTTTTTTTAAAAAAACTATATAGATTTATTTTACACTCTCTTTTTACAACCTTGTAATCCCTTAATTTGGGATAGAGTCAGGATGACTGGATGGACCTGAGTGTTTACTGGCTGGATGCCCTTCTTGACACCCTGCAGAGTTCACAACAGATATGTTTTTCTTTGCACCTTAGGAGAAAAACATCTGCTGCTACCTAGGATTGAACTCTTAACATTCCAAGTGGGAGGTGAGAGTCTTCACCACTAGACCACCATGCCACTTTGTATATTGACTTATTTTTACCAAACATCAGTTTCCTTATCCCTCTTTATAATTTGTCAATAATTTCTGCTTATTTTTGTACTGACTTATTATACAAATAACCATGCTTTTGCTTGGTAAATTTACATTTGGGAGATCTTGAGAATTTACTGTCAGGTTCAAGAAGTCAGGAACCAGGATACAGTTCAAAAGTATTACAAATTTATTTCATGCCAGCTATACACAAGAATCTGAACTGCTAATTGTTCTGTTCTTTGTGTTGATAAGGCATTGAAACAAGGCAGGAGTAACAACAGATACTTCTTTATTTTAGCTTTAACAGAACAACACAAAATGGCGCTGATCCCTTTTATACTTTTTGCAGGGAACAGCATCAGCCAATAAATGCAATATATTTTCCTGCTCTGCGCATGCTCAATAGGCTAGAGACAGCCTGGGAAGTCCACATGATCTGTCCGGGTCTCACTGCAGCTTCCTGCACCTGCTCTGTCAATCACAGGCCCAGGACATAACACTAATGGTCAAGGCAAATTGATCCCAGATAAGAGTAAACAGATTTTGGGGGAGGGGGAGAATTAGGTTTCTTATGAGGACATAGAGATTCCAAACTGATAATGTATTTGACTCCACCTTTGGGCTTAGCCTGATCACCTCCTACAGTTGCAAAATATAATTAAGATACTATATTTTCTATTGCATTGACCATGACATATTCTTTATTTGTACATCTGATGACCCTCAATATTCAAAGAAGCATTATGGGATTTTATGAGCAATGTTGCTTTTCAAAAAATATAGTTTTAAACTGATTTACTACAAAATGCAGCACTATATATCATATTTTATGCTCTGCTCTTCCACTGTATCTATTCAAAAGGGATCTTTGATAGACATAAAATTTCTTTTCAATAGTGAAGCCTTGAAATAATTTTAAAAGAGAAGCAATCTAGAATTCATTGGTATTCTTAATCCATATTTATTAATCCTATGAATCTGGACAGCGGGGGTGAGGGAGAATCAGAGAGAGTTTTGCTGAATCTCCTTTGAATTTAGATAAAATTAATTGGACACCTGAGGGTTTCTTACTATAATAATAAAGTTGTCATATGCAAGAGTTTTTAGTGACATCTTCTGAATCCATATATTACTGATATGACAATATGTGGGTAAATTGCATTATTTAATCCAGTTCTATTTATTTCCTTAGATACTTAAATAAGTATCTTAAATAGAATGCTATAAGAAGTCAGTCGTATTTGAGGGTACTTAATAGATGATTTAATGCTAATTGATTTTAGGAGTATGCTAAATATTCTGTGCTTCCTTTTCCTCTTCTCTCTCAGTTTCTGTTAAAATATACAAGTAACTTTTCAGCTTAAAATTATAAAATTATTAGTGAAATTGTCTCATAGTCTATGGTGTCCATAAGTATAATATGTGTGTTCTTTGTTATAAATAATTAATATACTTAATGCCTTGATTTATATATATTGAATTCAATATACATATATTGAATTAATAACCATGAAGGTGAAAGGGAGAAAAAGACTGAAAGAAAGAAAATAAACCCTGATATAATATAATTTGCTTTTGAAAGCTCACATATAGCTGATTTTTGCAACTTGTCTTGATTTTGAAACATCATAGCAATAAGTCTGACTACATAGCAATAACTCTGGTAACACAAGTACCTAGGGCAAGTACCTAGGGCAGAACTGTAACCACCATTAGCTACTACCATCATCATTATTTTCATCATTTCTTATCTATCTTCAACTAATAGCAATGACAAAGGTAAATAAAATTTCCTGTAACTTTAATCCAGCAACAATTGGAGCAGGATTAGTTGCCCATCCCTGCTACATAAAATATTTGAAGCAGCTCTCTTCCCCCATAACAATAGTATGAGTTTGACTAATGTTTAATCATAAGTTGCTTTCAGAAAAATGCATTAGATTTATGCCATGGCACATATTTTTAATAGTTTGACACTCAGAGACAAATGTATATGAACAATTTGGTTCAAAAATATATAAAAGGACTAAATAAAAAAATTAAAGGATTATTAATCTCTTGCTCTAATTTTGCCAAAAGTTTGGTCTATGAATAGAAGAAGTAACTATTTAGTAATATTAAACAAAAAGAGGACCAAAAGAAATTGCCAATTGCAATTTGTACAGGGAAGTGGAAAAAGATGGAAAATAGCTAAGCTGATGCTGTATTAACTATCAATGAGAATATTGCAATTTTATTGTGCATACTGTTTTTCTTTTTTTATTGTAGAGGATTTTTTTAAAAAAATGCTGTTCGTGGATAAGTTTGGAAAAACAGTTTTATTATCTCATGGAAAGAAGATTGCAATCTTACATGCAATTTTTTGGGGGCGGAGAGAGAAGCCTCTTAATATAGTTAGACTTATTTCCATGTAAACATGCCAAGAAAAAAAATGAAAATATAATGCAAGATCAGACTATAGGTAAGTAAATACATTAAGGTAACATAGTTTCTGCTTTTATCTGTCTAAATGAACAAAGTTGCTGTTTTGGATCCAGATTAAATCAATAGCCCTTACTGAAATTCATGGACTGTGTCAGTTATGAATTAACAATATAGTGGGAAGCATATACAAATGAAATAAATACTCCAGCTTCCTTTCTTCTTCTTTCCATTGTTGCCTCTTTCTCCCTTTGCTGTTTCTCTTTGTTATTATGGCATCTGTGCTATGCTTTGCAGTATTGAACTCAATGCCATTTCTGCAAATTAGAATGCAAACAATCGGTATGTTGAATGACTCCATAGGTTGAAAGGCACATTCAGTTTCTATAAACATGCACTGAAGAAAATATTTCCATTAATCAATGATTTGGTCTTAAGTTATGTTCCATAATGGTAGAACCCCTGCTTTCCACCACCCCCTCCCCAATCATAACAAATTCTTTATTTTTCATGCTGACTTTTTTTTTCCTTGTTATTTTCCAAGTTTTCTCAATAACTACATTCAATGGAATACAGTGAACCAAATGAATCAAACTGAAGTCTGGGAATTTGTTCTTTTGGGATTTTCGGATTACCCCATGTTGGAGCCAGTGCTTTTTGCCATCTTCCTCCTCATCTATCTCCTTATCCTGCTTGGCAATATTGGTATCATTATACTGGCTGCTACAGATTCACATTTGCACACTCCCATGTACTTTTTCCTTCAAAATCTGGCATTTCTTAACCTTTGCTATACCACTGCTGTGATCCCCAAAATGTTGTCCAACATGATATTGACTAAGAAAAGCATATCCTATCACATGTGCATGGCACAAACATATATTTCTCTCTTTATGGGAGCAGCAGAATGTATCCTACTGGCTGTGATGGCTTTTGACCGCTTTTTAGCAGTGTGTCACCCCCTGCGTTACACCATAATAATGAATATCCAATCCTGTATTAGAATTTTAGCTGCTTCTTGGACTGCTAGCTTTCTAGTTTCTGTTGTCCCACTCTATCTTTCTTTGCCTCCACTTTGTGCCCCATATGTCATTAACCATGTTTTCTGTGAGGCTCCTGTTTTACTGCACATGATTTGCACTAATACCTCTTTAAATGAATTATTAATGTTAGTTGGGGGCCTAGGCACACTAATGCTGCCCTTTATCTTGATTCTGATTTCATATGGCTATATTATTGCTGCAATAATGAGGATCCACAGCATTAGTGGCAGATGGAAAACCTTTTCAACATGCTCTTCTCATTTGACAGTGGTGATAATCTATTATGGGTCAGGGATGTTCATATATATGAAGCCAAAATCCAGTTACTCACCAGAGCATGATAAGTTAATTTCTGTATTTTATTCTGTTATCAATCCACTGCTGAACCCTATAATATATAGCTTTAGAAATAAGGAAGTCAAAGAATCATTAAGGAGAGCCTTTGGAATAAATGCATTGGACAAGTCATACTAAACACAGAGTTAAGAAAAAACATAAATTATACTATGTTTTCCAAATTATATAAAATTATATGAATTTAAATAAATACAATATATTATTATTAGCAAAAATAATAAATATGAATATCCAATTGATACACTATTGGAAGAAGATCAAAAAGAGACAAAACAAAATCATTAATTATATTATGTATAATTAATCAGGCAAAAACATTAACACAAGATATACTAGCTTAAAACTGGGGTGTCTTTAAAAAAGGGTGGGCTAATAGAACATTAATTAATTAAATTATCATGACTCTCATATAATAATTTTAAATGGCTACCATTTTAAATTGTTTTAATAAGTCCACCTTTTCCAAAGTTTCATTGTATTGTTTGCATTGTTCATTTGTGTTCATTTTGGATTTTAGAATTTTGAGAGAATTGTGTACATTAAGATTACATTAAAGGAAGATGTGACGACAAAAAGTTTAGGAATCCTTGTTGTAAACTAAAGAAAATCTATTATGTGCATTACAAGAGAGGGTTTATTTGTAAAATATGTTATTATTGTCTTCTCTTGATCCATAGCATTGTTATAGGTGTCTCAACAGCTAAAGATGTATTTGATCCATTACCCCGATTTTCCTTTTTAAGCTGTATTATTAATCCATCCTACAGTAAAAATATCATTGTAACATTAAAGCTGCCATCAGATGTTTTGACTCAGTTTGACTGATGATTATCACAGTTGGCAAGTGAGTGCCAAAATTAAAAAAGCTCCTGAATGTTTATCCTGCTATCTTAATATAACACTACCTGCTAACATAATAATGATCTTGGAAGTGTTTAGGGATTACTGGGTAATACAAAGGTCAGAACAGATGAATCAATCTGTTTCTGTCTATGTCAGAGGTCTGCTCACTTGTACTTCTGTTTCTTATCACTTCCAAATTAATTTGCATATTTAAATATGTTTTTTTTAAATATTTCCCTCTAAAATGTGTTTTTTTTTGTTCTCAACTTTCTAAATTAATATAAGTCTTAATCATGATCTTTGAATAAGTTTCTAGTGTGATGGCAGAACTGTAACTGTGTTTCTTGGCAAAAAAACAAATTAAACCAGAATGACAACAAAATACTGTCAAATGACATTTTCTTCTTATTTGTACTTCATAACTGCAGTTCCCAGCTTTATCAGCTAGAGACTGAATAGATAGCAATACAACCCTATTCTTGTGTCCCAAGTTACCTGAAATTCCTGGAATTTTGAAAAAAAGAACATCCTTTTCAGCTTCATAATTTTACTTCCTAGTTGGATATTTTCTTGATGCCAGCTAGGAAATACAGTGTTGTTGTTTTGGCAAGTAAACATTATTTTTGAAATTTGTACACACATCCCTAGTTGGTATCTTTTTTCCCGAACATATAATTATTTCTCCAAGAACTATTTCTCAAAAAGCTAAAAGGGAAAATCAAAAGAACAATTTATTTTGGTTCAGGAAGCAGATTTGGTTAAGTTAGAGTTGGTCAACTGAAATAAATTAAACTTAATATGACACATTAATTTTATCATGTCAAAGGATGAATACATCTTGAAAAAAATTCTTAATGTAAAATTTATTGGATATTTGTGATTTTCTGTTTAGTTTCTATTTGAATGAAAATGGGGTCACTCTTCTTTTAAAATTCAAATACTATGAAATTTCAGATTAGTTAAAAGAATAAAAGGATAAAATCAGATGGAAAAAGTGATTGATCACATTATAAATATTTTGCATGTAGTTCCAATTTACTCTCTAGCTTCTCAAAATACCTCTTCATTTGGAAAATGTAAGAATTTTCCAACTTGAAATTTAATTCTAAACATGATCTGAAACATATGAATAAAGCTTTGAAATAAAGCTTTCAAAACCTATTTTGCCTACAGTATTACCTTGTTCACTGTCATCTTCACTCCCCTAGATTAAGGATAAAATTCAGTAACTACAAGTTTTTTTTTTCTTTAATGATTTTGCTACTATACTTAAGTTTAAAGATTATATACGAGGGGATAGACGGGGAACTCATCAAATTTGCAGATGACACCAAGCTGGCAGGAATAGCCAACACTCCAGAAGACAGGCTTAAGATATAGAAGGATCTGGACAGACTTGATCACAGGGTGCTATCTAACAAAATGAAGTTCAATGGTGAAAAAAGTAAGGTTCTGCATTTGAGCAAGGGGAACCAAATGTACAGGCAGCGTATAGGGGGTGCCTTGCTCAATAGTAGTAACTGTGAGAGGGACCTTGGAGTCCTAGGGGACAATCACTTAAATATGAGCCAGTAGTGTGCTGCAGCTGCCAAAAAAGCCAACTCAGTGATGGGCTGCATTAACAGAGGGATAGAATCAAGATCACATGAAGTATTAATACCACTTTACAATGCCTTGGTAAGGCCACACTTGGAATACTGCACCCAGTTTTGGTCACCACAATGTAAAAAAGGTGCTGAGACTCTAGAAAGAGTACAGAGAAGAGGAACAAAGATGATTAGGGGACTGGAGGCTAAAACATATGAGGAACGGTTGCTGGAAATGGGTATGTTTAGTTTAATGAAGAGAAGGACAAAGGGGGACATGATAGTGTTCCAATATCTCAGGGGATGTCACAAAGAAGAGGCAGTCAAGCTATTCTCCAAAGCGCCTGAGGGCTGGACAAGAAGCAACAGATGAAAACTAATCGAGAGAAGCAACCTAGAACTAAGGGGAAACTTCCTGACAGTTAGAACAAATAACGAATGGAACAACCTGCCTCCAGAAGTGATAAATGATCCAACACTGGAAGTGTTTAAGAAAAAACTGGCCAGCCATTTGTCCGAAATGGTGTAGGGTTTCCTGCCTGAGCAGGGGATTGGACTAGATGACCTCCAAGGTCCCTTCCAACTTTATTATTATTATTATGGATCATCGCACAGTCAGCCAGATGTTCAGACTGGATTTGCCATTTTGTCTACCTATCGAGTCCTTACCCAGGACCTGGGATAGGCAGATGTGGATGTTTGATGGTATTACAGATATCGTCTCAGGATGGAAGCAGTTCCTAGTAAGGCCGCCTTTTGCAATTGACTAATAGCGAATTTGTCAATGCCAATGGTGTTCAAGTGGTGCTCCAGTTGTTTTGGGATTGCACCCAAGAAGCCTATCACTATTGGTACTACCCTTGCTTGCTTTTGCCACAGTCTTTCTATTTCTATTTGTAGGTCTTTGTATTTTGTTATCTTCTCCAGTTCTTTCTCTTCTATTCTGCTATCTCCAGGCACTGGCACGTCCACTATCCAGACTTTTTTGTCTTTCTTATCGACAATTGTTAAGTCTGGGGTGTTATGTTGCAGGTGCTTGTCTGTTTGAAATCTGAAGTCCCAGAGCAGTTTAATTTTATCATTTTCTATGACTTTCTCTATTTTATGATCCCACCAGTTTTTGCTTACAGGCAAATGATATTTTTTTGCAGATCTTCCAATGCACCATTGTTGCTACTTTGTCATGCTGCTGCTTGTAATCAGTTTGTGCAATCTTCTTGCAACAGCTTACCAAGTGGTCCACTGTTTCTTCAGCTTCTTTGCGTAGGCGGCACTTACTGTCTGTTGCTGTCTTCTCAATTTTGACTTTGTATGCATTTGTCCTTAAGGCTTGGTCTTGTGCAGCCAGAATTAGTCCCTCGGTCTCTTTCTTCACTTTTCCTGCTCTTAGCCATTGCCAGGTTTTGTTATTATCTGCTTTCCCAGCTATTTTTTCATGTATTGGCCATGTAGTGCTTTGTCTTCCATGCCTCTATTCTGTTCTTCATTTGGTCTTTCTTGTAGGCCAGTTTGGTCTCTCCAGTAGTTAGTAAGCCTTCCTGATATACTAATTTCAGTGCATCTTCATCATTGTTCTTCAAATATTCTTCCAAAGCCATTTTTTCTTCTTCAACCATCTGATGTACTTCTAGCATTCCACGCCCACCATTTGTCTTGGTAGATAAAGTCTGTCAATGTCCCTGCGTGGATGAAGGGCATGATTCATTGTCATTATTTTTCTGGTCTTCCTATACATTGCTTTTAGTTCTGCTTGAGTCCAGTCCACTATTCCAGCTGTGTACCTAATGACTGGAATTGCCCAGGTGTTGATTGCCTTTATGGTATTTCCTCCATTGAGTTTGGACTTTAAGATCTTCTTCACTCTCTTGATGTATTCACCTCTAATCTTTTTCTTGACTTCAATGTGCTTGATATTGTCAGCTTGAAGGATACCCAAGTATTTGTAGTACTCTTCCTCATCCAGACTCTTAATGTTATTTTCGTGGGGCATCTTGATTCCTTCAGGTTTCACTATTTTTCCTTGTTTGATAGTAAGTGTGGCACATTTGTCCAAGCCAAACTCCATTACAATATCTTGGCTATATATACGGACAGTGTTGAGCAGCGATTCTATTTCAGATGATGTTTTTCCATACAGTTTCAGATCATCCATGTAAAGGAGGTGGGATAGTCTAGCAGATGTTTTTGATGTTTGATAGCCATGTCCTGAGTTATTCAGTATTGTTGACAGAGGAAACAGTGCAATAACAAATAGTAATGGTGATAATGACTCTCCTTGAAATATCCCTCTCTTGATATTAACCTCTCCCAGCTTCTCACCATTGATCTGCAACTGTGTCTTCCATTGTGCCATCGATCTTTGCACAAATTTTATGATGTTTCTACTGACTCCTGTTATTTGTAGGCACTGTTTCTTCATCTTCTTTGCATAGGCGGCATTTACTGTCTGTTGCTCCCTTCTCAATTTTGACTTTATATGCATTTGTCCTTAAGGCTTGGTCTTGTGCAACCAGAATTAGTCGCTCGTTCTCTTTCTTCAATTTTCCAGTTTGGTCTCTCCAGTACTCAGTAAGCCTTCCTTATATACTAATTTCAGTGCATCTTCATCATTGTTCTTCAGATATTCTTCCAAAGCCATTTTTTCTTTTTCAACCATCTGATGTACTTGTAGCATCATCATCATCATCATTATCATTATTATTATTATTATTTTTATTACTACTATTACTATTATTATTATTACTATTATGCATCATTGCACAGTCAGCCAGATGTTCAGACTGGATTTGGCATTTTGTCTACCTATCAAGTCCTTACCCAGGACCTGGGATAGGCAGATGTGGATGTTTGATGGTATTACAAATATCGTCGCAGGATGGAAGCAGTTCCTAGTAAGGCTGCCTTTTGCAATTGACTAATAGCGAATTTGTCAATGCCAATGGTGTTCAAGTGGTGCTCCAGTTGTTTTGGGATTGCACCCAAGGCACCTATGACTATTGGTACTACCCTTGCTTGTTTTTGCCACAGTCTTACTATTTCTATTTGTAGGTCTTTGTATTTTGTTATCTTCTCCAGCTCTTTCTCTTCTATTCTGCTGTCTCCAGGCACTGCTACCTCAACTTTCCAGACTTTTTTGTCATTATTATTATTATTATTATTATTATTATTATTATTATTATTATTATATGGATCATCGCACAGTCAGCCAGATGTTCAGACTGGATTTGGCATTTTGTCTACCTATCGAGTCCTTACCCAGGACCTGGGATAGGCAGATGTTGATGTTTGATGGTATTACAGATATCGTCGCAGGATGGAAGCAGTTCCTAATAAGGCCGCCTTTTGCAATTGACTAATAGCGAATTTGTCAATGC